ATTCCTTTCCCCGTGGGCCCCCCTCCGGCCACCAGTGGCCAAACAGCCTTGGCAGCAGACCTCCCCTCTCTCCCTGCCCTGCCTTCTACCTCTCCCCTCTCCTTCTTTCCCTGATCACCATCCTCTTCTAACCACGGATTATTTGTGCCAAAATATAAGTCTAGTGCATTAAGGCACCGACATATCAACCCAGCTTTTATTTGTTAAAAGTATGTAAATTGTGGAACCACCTGTAAAAATAAAGTGCATGTGTCATCGAAGCGACCAACACGAATTTGAAACCACCTGTAAAAATTAGGTGCATTTGTCATTGGAGCGACCAACACGAATTTGACCCAACTCTGGGAGGCCGTGGAAGACAGGAGGGCCTGGCGTGCTCTGGTTCATGGGGTCACGAAGAGTCGGACACGACTTAACGACTAAACTGCAATAACTAGGCCACCATGAGTGGTTTTACAGTTACCTTTAAAGGGTTTCCAAAGTAAATGTGATGTTCAGGGAATGGTTTTGCCAGTCCCCCCCACACACACACACCCAAGTGCGTTTCTGTGGCTGAGCAGAGATTTGAACCCAGGCCTCCTGAGTTCTAGTCCAACCCTCTATCCACTACGCCTACCCTGGGTAGAACCTGGAGCCCTTGACCTTGTTTTCTCTGGTTAGAGTTGCTTTTAGGAGGCAGGGCTGGGCTGGGCTGCCCAGGAGGCTGCCTGGCCTTGAGGCGAGGGGGGCCCACACTTGTCCTCGTGGGCCAGCCTGTGCGGCCTCCGAAATATTCTGGGACGAACAACACCGGGTAGTCCTCCTGATGACAATATTACGTACTGCCATCCACGGTGCCAACGTGGGGGAGTTTCTGTCTCCTCTCTTTAATTCAAAAGACTTTCAATTAAAGCATTCCGCATTTCTCATTTCCCAGGGGCCCTGTTATGGGATGAGCAGACCTTGAGAGAGAACATCCAAATGATGCCAAACCCTGGGAGCAAAAATCACGTCCTGGACTCGGACACCCTAGAAGACAAACTCTCCGCCTTAAAGGTTCCGGAGTCCCTCAAGGCCAGCCTGCTGTGCAAGCTGGTGGAAGCCAAAGGGTCGGCCAGATTTCTGGAGGACAGCAGGAGCTCCGGCCACCAGGCTCGGGTCACCCTTCAGTATTCAATGACCACCCTGGTCAAGCATCTCCATGTGGCAAACCTCCCTTGTCCCGGCGCCTGCCACCCACAGACAGCCACCCACGTGGTCACCGGCGCCCAGTATGGGGCTCAAGTCTTCTTTGTCTTTGATCAAGAGGTTCCTCCCTCCGAGGACCTGGACGAAATCGGGCGGGACCTCCAAGCCCTGGTGAAAAGGATACCCAGGTGTCTTTCAGAGGAAGGCGAAGGGATGGCCAAGAGGGTTGAGGAGGACCAAGCAAGGATCGAGAAGATCACCTGCAGGATTCATGGCGATGTTGTTCTGGAGGACCACCCCGTGACTTTTCAAGAAGCCCTGGACATTTACTCCACCCTGCCCAGGCTGCTGCCAGAGAAGGCGGTCCCTGTGCGTATCTGGCTGCACCCTTTGAGTCAGCTGGGCTCCAAAGCGGAGTGCCCTTTCCGTGAAATCAGTTCGGAGCATGTTTCTGAAATACAGGATATGCTGCAGCAGCTGCTGGAAAAAGATCTGCAGTGCAACGATCTGGCTAGAAATCCTGCCGCCGTGGCTTTCCCTGGAATCAAGAGAAAACTCCAGCGGTTCCAAGGTCTGATTCACCAGTTCCGAGCGAACCTCCAGAAACGCCTGGCTAGGACCATCCCACTGATCCGCAGGGGGGAGGAAGAGGAGGAAGCCCTCGCAGGCATTTTGACCAACCAGCGGCAGGCGCTCTTCAGCTCTGAGCCCCTGGGTGCCTTTCTAGAGAACAGAGAGAAGGAGATGATGTTGGTCAACAGCTACCTCGATGTCCTGAAAGGAGTGGAAGTCGTAGCCACCAAGAAGGAACTGGACCGCGTCCTCGCCAATCCGTTGCTGAAGCGCGTCATTGCCTTCGTGTTCTGCTCTTTACAGGATGAGGAGCCGTATATCTCGGAGCTGGAAAATTCGCTGGCCTTGAAAAAAAGCCCACGTCACGGACCGCCTGCTTCTGCCAATAAGGTGCCGGATTCCAAATTGTGGTTTGAGGACAGAGGGGTCATCCAGAGGGCACGTGGAATGGCCAAGGCTTTCTTGGGACTTGCCCCATTGGCCTCCGAGGACACAAAGCTGGTCGTGAGTGCGCTGCCGGATCAGGACCACCCAGGTGTTTCCATATACCTGTATGAAGAGGGAGAGCTGGTCAGCACCAGTCTGGAGCCACCTTCCAAGCCATTCCCTCCTGGCATGGGGGAGATCAGCCACGATGCCGTCCAGCTCATCTTTAAGCCTGCACCCTTTGGTGAAGGGGGCATCTCTGGCTATCGGATAGAGAGCAGGATCGTCGGGCAGGGGTCCTGGATGGCCGTAAATACACCGAACAAGCAGGAGACCTTCACCGTGACGGGGCTTCGTCCCCAGACCACGTACCAGTTCCGCTACGCCGCTTTGGGCAGGCTTGGGCCCAGTGAAAGCAGTGACGTGAGTGACCCCGTGGCGACGCTTCCTCTCGGTTCCCCAGGAGAACCTGAGAACCCAGAGGGGGTGCATCATGCCATCCCCCCCACCTGCCAGGAGGTCAGCCTTGCAGGGCCGGACAGCAGTGGCCAACCAAGCGGCCCTGGGAAGGCGGAGGAAGAGAACAGGAAACCCTCTCAGGAAGGCGACAGAGCAGCAGAGCAGGACGGTAAGCCAGTTAGGAGCAAGGGTGCGGTGTGTGCTTCGTGCGAGAGGCCTGCAGTTGCACCAGAACGAGATGTTTCACAGCCAGGAGACCAAAGAGCAGTAGATAATCTGGTGAAGCAGAGTACACTCTTACAAGAAGAGGAGTCCCTCTCGATTTATCACCTTCCGTTGCAAAAGTCTGTCTCTTCTTCCTCCACTTTCATAAAATACAGGCTGGGGCACAACGACCCTCGAATCAAACACAAAGTGATCATGATGATGGGGGCCACGGGGTCAGGGAAGACCACCCTCATCAACGGCATGGCCAACTACATCCTGGGTGTGCAGTGGGAGGACCCCTTCCGGTTCAAGCTCATCCACGAAGAGACCCGCCGAGGCCAGGATCAGAGTCAGACCTCGGAGGTGACGGCCTATGAAATCAACTACAGGAGGGGCTTCCAGATCTCCTATCACTTAACCATCATTGACACACCAGGATTTGGGGACACCAGAGGAATAGAGAATGACAAACTGATCACGGAGAAGGTGCGGGAATTTTTCTCAACTCCGGGGGGAATCGACCATATTGACGGTGTTTGCTTTGTGGTCCAAGCCTCCTTGGCTCGTTTGACACATACCCAGAAATATATCTTTGACTCGGTGCTGTCCATCTTTGGGAAGGACATAAAAACCAACGTACAGCTCCTGGTCACGTTTGCAGATGGACAGACTCCTCCTGTCCTCCAAGCTGTTTTAGCCTCCGAGGTGCCGTGTGCGAAAGATGACAGTGGCTGCCCTGTTCACTTTAAATTCAACAATTCAGCATTGTTTGCCAGCAATTCTGCAGCTCACGAGAACAGCCCTGACTTCTCTGCAATGTTCTGGAAAATGGGAATTTCAAGCATGAAGAGCTATTTTGAATCTCTGTTGGGTCTGGAGGCCAAGAGTTTACGGCTGACCCGAGAAGTGCTTCGAGAGCGGAAGAGGCTGGAAATCGCGATTGAAGGCCTGCAGCCTCAAATCAGACTTGGTCTGCTGAAACTGGAAGAAATCAGGAAGACGAAGCAAGCGCTGGAGCACCACGAAGGCGAGATGAACGCCAACAAGGACTTCCAGGTGGAGATCGAGAAGCCGGTAACGCGGAAACTGGAGGTGACGGACGGGTTTCTAACCAACTGCCAGAAATGCAGCTTCACCTGTCACTACCCTTGTTTTATCCCAAACGATAAGGACAAGCACAAGTGCGCCGCGATGGATATTCACCAATACTGCACCGTTTGCCCTGGGAAATGTTTCTGGAATGTACATTTCAATCAGAAGTACCGTTGGGAATACACCACGGTGAAGGAGAAGCAAACGTACGCCCAGATCAAGAAGAAATATGAGAAAGCCTGCGGGGAAGTGATGACGACGGCCAAAATCTTTGAGCAGCTCTCTGAGGAGTACGAAGGCGTGAAGGTCCAAGTGCTTGAACTGATCGAGGAGTCGTCTCGGAGCATCGAGCGCCTGCAGGAAATCGCCTTGAGGCCCAGCCCGATGGCCACTCCAGAACACATTGATTTACTGATCGAATCGGAAAAGCAGGAAGCGAAGGCTGGCTTCCAGGAGCGGATCAGGTCCCTGGAGACGGTGAAGGAGATGGCAGTGATTGTGAACAAGATTGGCCGCGGGGAACCGCTGCTTCCCTTGGAGGAGAAAGTAGCCAAGAAGTATAAAACAAAGCCACCCAGATACCAAAGAATATTCAACTTCGTCACCGAATGGCTTTCTAGACGAATAGGTGATCCCACCTTTGATGGTATGTAAGCCTCCTTCTGTGAGAGGTGTCTGTGTTTGTGTGTTGGCACCACCAATGCTTGGACCCTCCCTGGGAGCCCCTAAAACATTTCATAGACCTCCAAGGAAAAATCAGAAGCCCGTGTTGTTCTTCACAGCTGATATTCATTGCAGTAAAGGGTTAACTCCGGAATGAAACCAAACCAACTGAGATGATCAAATTAATATGCATCTGAATATCAAAATATAAGTCTTTACGTTGTTGCGGTAATTCCAGGTAACATTGGGTTGTCTATTTCTACAAGCTTTATTTATCTGCATTGATTCTATGTTCCATATGCATGCTTCTTGGAGAAGGTGTGGCATGAGCCAATCATCCTTTCATTGGTGTTTTTAAATTTGTAATGCCGCCCAGAGTGTGGCACGAGCCAATCATCCTTTCATTGGTGTGACTGTTTTTAAATTTGTAATGCCGCCCAGAGTAGGTAGACCTTTGGTCTAGGTGGCTGGGGTAGAAATCTAATAAAATAAATAAATGAATGAATTTGTAGATCTATTCAATTGTAAGTAAAGAAACCTTTTATTCCGTCTCCTATTATTGTCTCAGAGTGAGTTACTGGGACTGTGAGTGCTAGTTGATGAGAAAAAGGATGAACGAAATGGGAGGGGAGGACTTGAAGCAGTACGGTTCTGTGAATCCCTGCCCTTCCATTGCATAGCCAGAGGAATTTAGCCAACATTCAAAACTCTGCAACAAAAAATACTGGGAAGGATGCCACGGTGTGGACGATCCCCTCAGAGGGCATGACCAAAACGTGCAGGAAAATGTAGAGTAGCAGAGGGACTCAGCTTTGGGGCCTGAGGTTCCCCTCCCCTCCCTAGCCAGGCTAGTATGCAAGACATTTGGATAAATATCCAACATAAATAAAATAAAGCCTTTAGTGAACAGATGCCACAAGACTCTGTCTGTCTGTCTGTGTGTGTGTGTGTGTGTGTGTGGTTCACTACCTTTGGGGGGGGTCTCCTAAGCATCGCTAATGATTAAGCAACCTGAGCAGTGCATTGGCAGCCAGTTCCCCCTGAAACAACTGGGAGAGGCAGAGTCCAGGGACGCCGTTTCCTCCCACCCCAGCCCTGCTGCCCTCCGGGGCCTGATTCTGGGGCCAGGGGAGCCTGCGAAGCATGAAGCGCTCCTGGCTGCTCTTGGGAGCTGTGGCCCTGGCTCTCGAGCCGGCTGCCTTGGCCGCCTCTTTGGGAAGGAAGGTGAGCCTTCGTCCGGTGGGGAGGGGTGCAGTCAGGACCCCGAGATCAGCCAAGCCCACCTCAGAGGCAGGAGCAGCTCCTTTGGGAGGACGGGGGCTCCCAAACGGCCGTGCTCCCCCACACCCTGGTCCACCTTCCTTCTGTTTGGGGCTCAGGGCAGGCAGCAGGGCCCCCCCTCCCCGCTCAAGGGTCTGGAGAAAAGAGGCATCGGCTACCCACTGCCAACCACCACCTGCCCCTGCAGAGGCCCTGCTGTGGATGATGGGGCCTGGGCAGCAGCAGGGGAAGGTCTTGACTGTACCACACCACCCGCCGGGAATCATCTTGGACCTCCCCCCACCCCACTTCCACTTCCTTTGTAGCCAATTTGAGGCCGGGAACGTGGATCGTGCCAACTCTTAAGAAAACCCAGATGCTGGTCCGTGCAGATCCTGTGATTTGGAAGGGCATCGTCAAAGAGCAAGGCCTTCCCCGGGCCCTTTTTCCTTGTCATCCTGTCTGACTGCAGGCAGTTCCAGCGGCCGGTCCCTTGCAAGGTTTCAGACCCAGGAGAAAGGCTCTCTTGTGCTTGATCTAGTAACTGAGCAGGGTGGCTTCCGTGTGAGACAGAGCGGGAGGACTGGAAAGTGTGAAGGAGGTGGGCAGCCGGTGGGGGGGGGAGGAGGAGGAGGAGGAAGAGAGATCTGTACATGGTAGAGCAAAAAAAAGCCTCCCCATGGTGCTGAGAACCGAAGGAATGGATTGGGCCTTGCCCAGATCAGGAGGAGGGTCAACGACGCTGAATTCCCAGCAAGAGGGGTGAGCCTAGAGGAGGAGGAAGAGAGATCTGTACATGTTAGAGCAAAAAAAGCCTCCCCACGGTGCTGAGAACCAGAGGAATGGATTGGGCCTTGACCAGATCAGGAGGAGGGTCAACGATGCTGAATTCCCAGCAAGAGGGGTGAGCCTAGGGCTCGGACAAGCCTCTGAGCCGATCTTGACAGTTCTGGACAGGGAAAAAAAACACTGCACATGCCCAAAGGAACTTTATTATTCTTATGGAAATACCCACCTATAGTAGAAATAAATCTACAAAGCTGGGGTGAGAGTGAAAAGGAGTTCCTTTATTGTGACGCAGTTGCAAATGTGGAGAGAAAGAGAGAGTGATCAAGAAGTCAATCACAGTCTCTCACTCTGCCAGAAAAGTGTTGTGCATAAGATTATATACCTGTAACACCCCCCCCCAGGACCACCCCAATTTTCCTATCTGTCTCATAGGCCAATAATTGGTCTGATGAGCTCACAGTCTCTCTAAAATCTCCCCTCCCATTCCCCTCCGCTCTACGTGATTTGGATGGCTTTTTTTTTTTTAAACAAAACTCTGCTTTTGCAAGACAAGCTAGCTCTCTCTTATCTTCAGTGCCTGGTATCATCCCATACCAGAAATTCTTCAGCGAGCGCCTAGCAAAGAGCAGCAAGGAATAATATAAGCGAAGAATAATATATGGAAGTCAAGACTTGCTCAATACAGTTACATTTCTCTATCATTATTTATTGGGTTCCAAGGCCCTCTTTGCTCCTCAGCTCAACATAAGCCCTACAAGGGCTCCAGCAGATAAATGGCTGGGGGCCGGGGGGGGGATATTCCTCCCAGTCACCCTGTAGTTCTGAGAGCCCCTCCCAGGTCCCTGGGGCCAGAGGGCCAGAAGCCACCTCTCCCGGCCTAAGAGTGGGGAGGGGGGCAGTAGAAGGATGGGTGTTGGGAGCTCCAGGGGTCTTCAGCCTCCTCGGACTTCTTCTTCTTCAGAGGAGGAGGAGGCGTCCCAGCCTGGACCCTGCTCAGATCCGAGGGCGTCTTCCTCAGGTGAAATATAGGCCTATCCAGAGGGGGCAGAACTTTCACCCCAGTGGGTGAGGCTTGGCCAGCCTTTGACCTGAATGAGAGCAGGACCCGCTGGCGTTCCTGTCCAAACCGCACTGCAAAAAAGCCACAACTTTAAAAGTGGCGCCTTCCCCCAGGAAACCCTTGGAATCTGTGGAAGAAACCGTTCGAAATACTTTCCTGCACTGAAGCTTTCAAAAATATCATTGTTTTTTCTACTTGTGACCTCATTAAAAGCATTGGATGGAAGCCTCTAACGCAAAAACCCAGCCTCCCATGCCAAAGGGACGGGGCGCCCGGCTCGTTCTCTGTCACGAAATAAGCCACAACATGAGCAGGCTATCAAAAAAAAAAAGAGGCAGAAAATCACAAGAAAAGGCACTGGATTTTGTGGGACTGGACATCCGTTGCCCAGAAAGCAGGAAAAAATCGCCAAAACGGCCAGTGCTGCAACTTAACAGTTTTACAACAGCAAACGTTGCATTGAGATAAGCTGTACGTTTTGTACCCAGAAGGAAAGATAAGGAGGACGGATCGCATAAGTAGCGATGCGCTTTGTTTTGCTCTTGGTGAGAGCCCCAGTTTTGAAACACCTTCCCCAAGGAATGCGTCAGGTGCCAACATTGTGTTGTTTTTCACAGTAGGTTAAAGTTGGAAAGACAACTTCTTAACTGAACTTTTTTCTCTTTGTTGGTATTCAGTATTTCTCTGGCTAATTAATACTTAGTCTACCTGGAACCCATTTGGTGCCAGTTTAGACATCTCAACCTTCCCTCCTGTCAATATTTAATTCTTTCTTCTTTCTTTCATTTTTTATTTGTTTTTTTATTGTATGTGTTATGGACTGTCTGTAAAATTCTTATGTTTTATTGTATACACCTTATTGAAAGCAGCCCAGAGTGGTCGACCAGACCAGATGGGCGGGGTATAAATA